ATATATATATATATATATATATATATATATATATATATATATATATATATATATATATAATTCATTTTTTTTCTTTAGAATATGAATGAGAAGATAAATTGTAAAAATGTACTACGACTATTCGCCGATGCGCAATGAAATTTAAACTCAGAAGAAATCACGATTCATTCGACCATTTTACTTTAGTTGCTTCTGCCAATAGTTTTATCATTGTTCTAATATATTCCCATAATCATTATACATCAAAGTAAATTTGTAAGGTCTATTCAAAAAGAATATAAATTTGAATTGGCCTTTAGTAGTCTTAAATAAACCAAAAGAACTTTCCGTTAGAAATTGACCATTCAAATTTACAAAACAAAGCTATACATCCAAAATTTTATACACAGAAATAAATTCGTAGACTGTTCAAAAAGCACGTGTTGTATCGAGGTAAATTTGAATTTGCCTTTATTAATCTTACTTAAACAAAAAGAACTTTTTGTTATGAATTAATCATCTAAATTTACAAGACAAAGCTGTACATCCAAAACTTTGTACATTAAAATAAATTCGCAGACTGTTCAAAAAATGTTTGAACTAAAACAAGTGATTGTGTAAATCTGCTTTTAGTAAGCTTGCTTAAATCAAAAGAACTTTCTATTATAGAAATCAACCAAATTTACAAAATAAAACTGTACATATAAAACTTTATACATCGATACATCGAAATTCGTAAAGACTGTTTCAAAACACGTAGCATGTGGCGTGCCGAAGTGAATTTGAATCGTTCTTTAATAATCTTACTTAAACAAAATAACTTTCTATTACGAATGGACCATCCAAATTTACAAGACAAAACTATACATCTAAAATTTTAAACATCGAGACGAATTCGTATCAACTCTTCAAAAAACACGTGCTCTGTGACATGCCGTCTGAATCGTATTTAATTCTCGACAGCAATATTTTAGATTCGTAAAAAGTGGCAAGCGCGAGATATTCAGCTACACAGATACGTGTGAGCGAATTTATTGAAAGTTATTAATTATATCTGTATGATAGTTTACGGTGACGCAGTCTATTCTGAGAATCCGAGATGAATTTACTTATTATTGTTTTAGAGAATTTTTGAGAGTGATTTAAAGTATGTTCGAGCTCATTAAACAAATAAAGAGTAAAAATAAAATCTCTTGATATTTAATTCGAAAAAGGTTTCCCGTAAAGGTGGTTCATCGTCTCGTCGAGCTTGCAACTTTCACGATATACAAGATATAAACCGATGTTATGTAACTATGCCTGATTAATTTTTGAATGTTGTGTGTCTGCTTTCATATCTCTATAATCTCCATCCCTATAATCATCTTATCGTTACACGTAATAATTGACAACATTGTTCTAAGGTGAGTTAATGAATAACTTCGAATCGGCTGGCTGGCTCGCAACGACTAGCGCATCAATCAAAATATTAAATACCGCTCAACATGATTGATCAAGTCGAAAAGCGAGCAGCCGCAATGATCGTTATGAAATTCATCAAGTTATTGGGATAATCGCGTTAGATTATATTTTTACACGTTATTTACTTAAAAAGCCTAGTTCTTCTCTCCGTAATTAGGAATAGTGTGTATTTATAATCAAGAATGTTGATTAGAAGTCACGTGATTTAGATGATTAGGGACAGGGTTTATCTATAATCAAGAATGAACTTCGCGAGAAAATTATTAATATTAGCCAATTATTATATATATATATACATTTATAATATTGGCAGAAACACTGTATCTATTATAATCCTATTAACTGTGGCCTAATATGGAAAAATATAAAACTTAACTAAATATACACTGATCCTTACATCTGTCTTAACACGCCTTGCATGCACGCAATTGTATACATACATATACACACATTCTAATCGAACACACTTGATAGTCACATGTTCTCACTTATATTTATAGTATTTGCTTTTGCTTTCAAATTTACATAAAGTACAAACTTATGAAAATCGGAAAAATGTAACGTAAATTAGTATAGAATTTATGAAATAGTATAATTTTTTTTTGTTTTTGGGGTCACAGTTAAGTGTCTTCTTCGATATTACACAAAAATCATCGATGCATAATAATCCTCGTCATTCATAACCTTTAGCTACATAGCTAAACAAAAAAAATATTTACATAATATTTCGAAAATTCTATACTAACTTACGTTACATTTTTCCGGTCTTACAAATTCGTACTTTATGTAAATTTGAAGACAAAAACAAATATTATCAATATAAGTGAGAACATGTATAGTTACCGTTGTGCTATGTAGCTAACGGTTACAAATGACGAGGATTATTACGAGGATTAGCTCGCCGGACGATCGCGTTCAGGTTTTTTGTTGGAATGTCCCAACTGCAACAACCGTTTGTACCAATCCGCAATATCGATTGCCAATGTCGTCTTGCGTTTGTCAAATTATTTTATCGAAACGTCCGGTATCATTTTTACACGTGCTTATTATGCATATTTATATGTTACAACAAATCTGCACTACCCAATTGTCCAATATAAAATTCTGATGTATCCAAGCGACGACAGCTTTCAATAGACTTATTAAGAACAGCAAATAATAACATTATAAAGATTCTTCAAACGCAGCCATCAAGTCACTTTGCATGTTCATATCAATCTGGCCAGCCATCTGGAAAAAAGACATCGAAATAAACTTTACTGCGGCCGACATCTTTTCTCAAAACGTTTTTCTTATTTTCTCTTTCTACGCATAAAAACAATTAAAAAACCCCAAAAATCCTTTAAGATTATAAGTTATACGAATTATCTAATCTATCGTAACAATAGTTACCTAATTAATTAATGTTTTATGCAACGCGAGATTAATTCTAATTCTCGATGGAGTTTGCAACGCGACATAAGACGAACTCTTAAGAATAAGATTCCAGAATAAGAACCATAAGAATAAGATTCTAATAAGAAGCATTAAACAAATAAAATTGCGAATGCTAAGGAATATTAAAAGCACTCACCGCCTCGCGCCGTCGTCGCTCTTGTTCCCGTAGCCTCTGACGTTCTCTCTCTGCGGCTGACCTGTCCTGACTGGACGAATGACTCGGACTACTGCTATCCGTGTCTGCAATGGCTCTCACTTCTTCCGTCCTCGTCGTGGCGGTCATGGAGTTGCCTTGTGGATCTCCAACGTTTTTCCTAGCCTTGTCCATAGCATCCTCCTCCTCCCGTTCTCTTTTCCTCTCGTTCTCCTGCCGTAATCTCTCTCGCTCGGCCTGCTCCTTCTGCTGCTGTTGCCTACGCATCTCCTGTTGTTCCAGAAGGGCCCTTTGCTGTTTAATATGTAGTGGCAAATATACAATTATTCACGGGGCGGACGATCATTCGGAAGTGGTTCGAGTAACTTTGACGTCATGATAATGAAAGATATGCTAATAATAATAGCAAAAAATATAATTGACTATTTAATTGAGCGAATTTAACTCTTCGTCGTGCACACAGCAAACATCAACATGTTTTTACCTGCAAATATTTACTCTGTACAATATACAAACTATATTAGACATTGAATTAAAATACAAAATAAAAGAAAAAATGGCTCCAAGTAATTAAAAACATAAAATAAAAGAGTAAAAGCATTTAAGAGCCAGGCACAGATGAAAAAGTGCAATCAATGTATTATAATGTTGAATTAGAATGTTTACTTCGATATTGACTATTAACTTTTTTATTTTTATTAGTACAACTAGATAACGACTAATTGTACGAATTTTTTTATCATTACTTTTATCATTACTTTTAGTAGAAAGCGAATATAATAAATATAAATAACAATATTCAAAACAAACAGTATTCAAATACATATATTAAAAATTATAGAACTCTTTCCGAATATTTACGGGGGTTTTAAAGAAACATATAATTTTTTACGAAAAGAGAAAATATTGCAACTAACTCTGTCCTGCTTTTCTTTAGCTGCTTTCTTGAATAGCTGGAACGAATCTCGAGTTGCAGCACTCTTCATACTGCTACCTGCAGCCGACGATTGCGGACTGGATGCTTGCGCCAAGGAAGACCAGGATGATGCATTTTTCACATTCTGCTCTACAGTCTGTTTACGCAAAATGTACCTGTATCTCTGACACTGAACTGATCTCAATTTTTCTTTTTTGTATCTTTCATTGAATTTTTCCTCAAACTAAAAGAATAGTAGGCAAAAAAAAAAATGGTGTTACAGAAGAGTGAGAATGTTATCACCAAACACAGTGTATTTGGATTTTCCGTGGATTCCTTGATTTTTTTTTTTAGGATTACATAGTAAAATAACGGTTCTGATAATGATTCTTGTCTCAATTTCGGATCAAACTTAGTTAATTAATGTATTAAAAAAGCACACGTTATAATAAAAACATGGAATAAATCTTTTTGTATTCTTTAGTTCTTTCACAATTATATTCTAAGATTACACATGCAAAAACATTGTTAATATTTTAGTTAAAACAAAATCTAGATTACCATTCGCTTATTCTTTAGATTTATAAGATTGTTAGTAAATTGGATTGGATATCATATAAAGCTGATTGTTTCAACTTCTTGGTATTGGTCTAAGCTACCTGATAATTAAATCATGTGCCTGTTTCTGTCTAATTTAAAGAAAAAACAGACATATGATTTAACTGCCAAGTAGTTTATCAAAAAGTTGGGATAATCAGCTTATAATCTGTTAGAGACACGAAATAATTTGTTAATCCACAACTGCGATTTACATAAGTGTTTCTAACTTTTTTTTAATTTAGAATCAAATAATTTAAAGTTTAATAATTTTGCTTTAAAATTATGACATTTTCTGCTTGTATTAGTATTAAGAGTTCCTTCTATAAAGTTCGATCGACAAATTTATCTAAATAAATGAAAGTTACTCTAACTTTAAATGAACCATAATTAGAACCGTTACCTTAATCTTTCTTATTTTTTTAATGAAAACTTTTCCAATCCCAATATTGTCCAGTTAGTTTCTATTAGCCGAATGCGGGAGAGGGCGGGCTCGTGAAACAAGATGTAATAATGACATATAGAAGCAACACAACTATACTTGGACTTACACATATGAGAAAAAGTCCCTGCTCCTCTTTCTTTCTCTCTCATGCGTGCAAGTCCAAATATATAGTTGCGCAGTTATTACATTATTCTATATTACATTATTCCATCATCTGAAGAAACATTCCTTTAGATAACATAATAATAAAATAAATATAAAATATAAAAAAAAATATAAAATATAAAATATAAAATATAAAAATAAATATACAATATAAAAAATTGAATACACATTTAATAAATAATATACCTTAGTTTTGAAGGCTGTCGCAAAGGTTGCGGTAGGATTCTTCGAATCGGGTGGAGTCATTTTCTTTTCAGGCATGAGTTGAGCACTGGCGTGATTATTACCTATTGGTGGCATTCCTAGGGTGTTCATTTCTGCAAAAAGAGCTCCTGCTAGAGCAATAGTATTATATATCCGATTAGTAAGCGGTTAGTGGCAAGTAAAACATTTATTGAGTAATGTTTATTACTTGAAACGTAAGAAAGAAGAGTAATTCGTGCGATAAAAAATCATGCAATACTTAATATTAAAATCTATACTAAAAACATAATGACTTTAATCGAAAGTATCAACAAGCAAAAAAGATAAGCAAAAACAATATTAATTTGTCATATTAGCATATTGCGTTTTACTTCCTACATAACATCGTCTATGTTCATATTAACATTAACTGCACTAATAATTGTCTCTTTTTACTAATTATACATTAGTTTGCTATAATGTATAAGCAAAAGATAGATTGAAGCGGGTTTGTGACTAACGTTAATCAAAATGTAAAATTAGAAAATAAATATGCTTTAAAAGGAAAGATAAGTATTGTACACAAACCATCCATAGTTTTTTGCGTCAGCTGAGACTGAGCAATAGACATGGGCTTCTCTTCCTTTTTAATGGGGATCTGCGAAATTTGCATCGGGATGCTTCCCACCATAGGAATGGACTCGAATATCGACGCCACACTACCCACCATATTGATTCCCATGTTCATTCCTGGAATACCATTGTTGTTCAGCATACTGGGCGGCGAGGTTTCGCGCTTTATATTCGGGAACCCATTGGAATGCTGCTGCGACATCGTGACGTTGTGGGAGTTCTGTATGCTGGTCAACGGCGCGGTGGTATTGATTATGTTCTCCAATTGATTGTGCATGGGCATATGCGCCGTGAGTCCTTGCGACAAACTCATGTTCAAATTCGCCATATTGACGTTTCCCAGATTCAGATTAGAAGCCATATTCGTCTGCATCATGTTCACAGGTTTCACATCTGGTAATAAATTCAAATTGGTGTTGTTATTGTTGGTATTATTGGTCGTGTGAGACGCCTGAATAAACTGCGGCTCCTTTTTGACTGCGAGCGACGGATCCAGGGATGGCTGCGTGGTAGGCACCGTAGCTATATACGGCAAAAGGAAATTGGTTACTGACACATATAACACCCTTTCCTCTCACATCCGGAGACGAAAGATCGTTTCGTGCGGGATTGTTCTAAGAGATGCTAATAATCGAAATTATATAATAATTAAAATTACATGTGGACATACCCATAGTAGTATATGGTTGCATAAGGTCGGACTGCTGACTCAAGTTCGTCCCGTCTATGGATACGGGTGTATTCGCACTTGAAAAGGAACTAATGGACGTCGGTGGCTGTTGCGGTGGCTGCTGCGAGACAACTGGCGAAGCTGTCATGGAATTCGTATTCGTTGGTGTGACGCTGTGCGGTGGAGTCGGCACGGAAACTGACGGTGTCGGCGGATTGGACGTCGCTGGGGGTGGCGGCGTTGGCTTTTTTACAGGGGCAGCTGTAGCCATAGCCGTGGGTCGCGATGGTTGAGCCGGCATCGATGCATGGCTTACCACTGGCATACCCGAGGCTACTGTAACAGCAGCTACTGTGATTTGATGTTGATAATTACCTATTATAAAAGATTTTTATTCAATATTTTTTCTATTAATCGAATAAATATAACAACGTACTTCATAACATATCGACATTTGCTCTCTATAATGACTTCGGCACGTAGAAATGCAAAAACACTTGTCGCATAACAAGTGTTTCCGCTTCTTTTGTGCAGAAGCCATAACTCATATGTGTGAAAAACTTTTAATATATTTTTTAAACTTTTTGTTAAGATGTCGTTAAAGGATTCTATTTGTGCATATGAAAAATCTGTGCCAGCCTGTGCATGTAGAAACATTTTTGTGAAAGAGGAAATAATAATTGGAATAAATCAAACTTCAAAAAAGGTCTTCACACACAGATATTATAATGAAGTAATTAAAATATATTATATATTATATCGAGTTAGATAATATCCCTATATTTATATATTATATCGAGTTATATATAATATCCCTAAACTTCGACATGAAAATTGTCTACGTTATGACGTTATAGTTACTTTGCTCCGAAGGAATATTGCTTGGTTGAGTTACAGTTGGTTTCGCTATTGGTCCCGTAGCATTTGTTGGTGGTTGACTATTCATTAAGAGAGCTCCGGTATGATTCAATGTAGGTGCCTAAAAAATATATCATTTATTTAGTTTATGAGCAAAACCTATCATCTGTTTTATAATACGTAATATTACATTAATATTATAATGTCATAATTTACATTAATATTAAATATATAAAAATATATAAAAAATATATAAAAATATATGCGTTATATGGTAAAAATATTAAAATTGAAATAATTACCAGATTCACCACATTATAATGTAACATGAATGGATGACTTACTGATGGAACGGTGGTAGCTGTTGGAGCTGGTCCTGTACTCGGTGCATTCTTTTTTGTTTTCTTTCTAGGCGGACGATTGGAGGTCCCTTTAAATTTAACGCATATAATTAATTTGAAATACAATACGCACACCAACAATGTGTACAGTACGTGAGACGAAAATCAACGCGGAGACCTAGCGGAGTGCAGAACGCAGAGGATTACTAGCCATTAAGTACTTGCTAATGTCGCTTATTAACAAATGCTGAGTAACAAAACACATATCAAGTAGACTTACATATAACATACAGCAAATTAAACAACTCCGGGCATATATTTTCTAATAGATTTTATTCATATGCTTATATTATAATTGTATCACTGTGTACAACAATGTTAATTTAAATATTTTAATTGTAGTTTCACCTCTCTTTTTCTTTCATTTCTTTTTTTTGTGGACTTTCATATATGTTAATGATCTTTTTATATTAAAAAATTTGAATGCGCAGAACAATTTTTCATCTCTTCACCCTACGTAAAATTAGTCGTATTCAATTTATTTACGAATAATCTGTGTGTGCATATATATATATATATATATATATATATATATATATATATACATATATATATATATATAGATACATATCTATACACACACATCACAAATACATACATACCACACGCGCGCTCACATGCATGCATAAGTTTCGCGTAATTGTCACACATACATATATATAGCTACGTACATATATGTATGCAAGAGTACGCTCTTATTAGTTTTCTTTCTCTCTATCTCTCTTTCTCTCCCTTTCACTCTTGCTCCACTAAGGTAGCGATATTATCATGATTTATTACAATAATAATAAAATAATATTAATCGTGTCGTTGGCGGAAATGACGATTATAAAACAATGACTATAAAAATCATCGAAGTGCTGTCTCTCTGTATTTACTTTCGTACGTACATATATACATAGAATATTCTATATATATGTACATAGAAGAGTAAATAAAGATCTCACATAAATGGTACAATACGTAAGGCTCAACCTAAAGATGAATGATACATGTCATAAAGATGAGTGACATATTCTTACAAACTGATTAATGTAAATTCAAGTCGTAGTTAGCGCAACACTGAGATCGGTGGCAAGAGACTCCTACTCGATGTTCATCGTGATTGAAATGTTAAAAATCAGTGACGTTGGTAAGATATATAGAAACTGACGACACTACGGAACTAATATGACTCTAATTCCACTTTCTCACTTCCGTGTACATGTTTCCTCTTTCCCGAATAGTAACGTGATCACGACAATCGTGAAATCACGACGTTGAGATTTGCCAATGAAGAAGAAAACAAAAAGAAAAAAAAGTGATCGCGACAACCTAGCTAAAAAAAAATAAAGACTGAAACGATAGTAACTATGAGTAGAGACGAAACAACGAGAAGGAGTTTTTTATATATATATATATATATATATATATATATATATATATACATGTATATATATACATATATATATACATATATATACCAGCATATCTTAATTTATATAATATAGTTAACTGGACCACCATATATGAGCCAACCGCGACTCCGAACGCCCTTATGTAGAATTAATGTCTATTTCACTCGTTTAACTTTGCGTATGCACTTAAAAAAGTTGCGCGCGCTTACGCGCGCGCGTGTGTCTGTAGTTTTTTTCCATAAATGTAACTTATAGTTATATTTTCATTAATATTTTTATATTTATGATATATTAGTCTTTACTATGTACAAAACGCGTATGCTCATATCATTTTACTGTTTAACTATTTAAATCTCGCGATACGCAGAAAACAGTTGGAACGTATTCCGGAGAGAAAAAGGGTATTGATCAGCGATGTTAAACAAAACTGATGGTTTAGAGTATCTCTTCTAAATATAATAAAATATGTCCGACTCGTATATTTAGATCTGCTCTCGCGTACTATGATTCTATCAGGAAGAATGACGTTCCAGTCTCGATAAAAGAATACGACAAAGTGGGAGAAGAAGAAATAATAAGAGATTTGAAACGCGTGTTTGCAATATTAGAGTAAATGCTACAAAAATTTTGGAAGGCAATATGAATATCGTTATAAAATGCCCTATACCTCGCGTTACAAACTAATGGTGATTGTATCTTAATAGATGCGTTATCTATCTAGTTTCAGCACACGCTGTTAATTTGTTCTTTCCATACTCTAGCTAGTTGTTTCGCGAATTTCTCTATTCACTTTCAGTTATCTCGGGAAAACGTAAAACCTGGTACAATAATATTATAATCTGCCCGACTGTCATCTTGTGTGTGTCTACCGTTAAATGCTTATATAATTCCATATCATTAATTTTCTTAGATATCGACGAACACTTTTTTTCTTACCAATTGTGGCTTGTTTGTATAGAATTATCATAGTAATATTAATTGCCCTACTTCTCTTATCTTTCTTAATCCTCCTTTTTCTTTTCTGTCAGGACAGTAAGTACGTCTGCTGAGTGTACGATTTATGATACTATTTAATTGTACTCGAGTGCAAATTCGATTAGCCTTAATGCTCACGTTCAATTATTAGATGCTTTCTCAAACATCTTCGAATGTCATTATCGGTTACGTCCACAATAGATTCTTATGTATATAGTTTTATATATATATATATATATATATATATATATATATATATGTATGTATGTATATATATGTATATATAAGAATTAAATTTACACAATATATCTCAACAAAAAGAAAAAGGAAAAGAAACTTACGGAGCAGACATTTACACGTAGAAATATAAAAACAAAGTATCGTTAAAATTAATCTTGATTAAACTCGTATAAAAGATTTCCTAAAAATGTTTTTTTCTTTTTTTGTTTAGTAGGACGGGTTAAAACTAATATTATTTCGAAAATTACGACAATACCGTGATTATTCGGAAATTCATGATATTTACAACACATACGAAGTTCTATTGCGACGAAAAATGAAATTTATGCTTAACGAGAATAACGGCTATTATTTCGCACAGTAAGGCATGTAAAACCACACCAATCTTCGTAGTCCATAATTACCATTGGTACAACGATATCAATTTTCCAATAGAAAGAAGACCAACGTTACCAACTTCCCCTTTTTTAATCACTTCAGCGATGAGGAAACTGACAATGATCACCGATGGAGAACTTAGTGGTAAATAGAATGAAACGTCGAGTAGCAAAGCTTAGAGGAGTGCAAACAATGTGTTTGGAGGCTAGGGCGCCTTGTGTATACATGTATGTAACGTATACGTTGTAGAAACCATCTCTTACATCTACTTTTATCCTTTTCCCTCCTCCTCCTATTTGTCCTTCTCTTTTTCCTCCTCTCTCCCTGCTCCTCCGTTTCACTTGCTTTCTTCACTGCGACTAATCCCGACTTCTCTCCGTCTCTAATCGTTCATCCGTCCATTCTTTTCTTCTACCTTCTACTCTTCTTTACAGTTTAACATAAACATTGTATATATGTGCTCAAAGTCAATAATTTTGTAAAAAGAAAAAAGAGAACGAATGAGGTTTGTCACAGTTTAGAATTCATATGTAACACGAATCCATATATCTATTTACTCTGTAGAGTTCATCATTAATTACTTTACTTGGGGTCTATGCACTCTTGGAATAAGTCGACAATAAGGAAGATTCGTATTCGTTCTCGCCCGTCTCACGACGTTGCGACACAAGACGTTTTTAGTAATTGACTGTTATAAAGGAAGCACATGTTTTTGGCTACGATAAGTTAAGTCCGAAGTGGAAACACCTGAGATATTGTAACATTAGGATTGAGTATCCTCGATTGCTGAGAAGAATCTCACAGCTGTTTTGCGGAGATGAGAAGCTCGCGAAGAGCATGACTTACTTTGTACAAAACAACTCAACAACGCGTTACGCTACAAACTGTGCTAGCCATAGAATGCGCTGACTCGCAAGATCCAGCCACCAATACACATTGTCTGCATCATTTCTTATCCGTGCATTCAAATTCGTTTATTAACCTAACACTAACGAGCATCTTTATAAGTCCACATAGTTTCAGAATGTATGTGTGTGGAAATGAACGTCGAGGAGGCATAAATGCAGTCTCTCACGTCAACCAGATAGATATACCCATTTCCCTATAGTTTAGCGTGACGCCTGTTAATATGTCACTCTCTACTAAATTCTGAGAAATGATACGACATGAATTATGAATCGATGCGAGGTAACAAACTTAATGATTTAGAAACACAGTGATACAAGTAATGCTCTGCTTATCGATTAATGTAAATAAATATATCAATATATCATAATTTGCAAGAGTTAATATATTGCATGATATATTCGTTCTTCGGGTTACTTGGGACAATTATCGGGGAAAAGCTACGATGTATAACTTACAACCAAGGTACCAATATTTGACACTACAGTCACAGCAACGTCGTTACATATCAACAATGTAATATGTTATGCACTGATGTGTGTGTGTTTGAAGTTTTTTAGTCATTTACCGGACGCATTCACTAATCTTAAAAGCAACCTTAAAACAGCTTCTCTTACGAACCCGAAGACGGGACTGCAGTGAAAAATTCAGTAGCCTTGAGTAGCAAACTATATCTTTCGACTTTCGAGCAACAGAATGTATCGTCAACACCGATCGGGCAAGAGAAAATAATCAGTTGTTCCATAATCAATAATACAACACGTGAAACAAGCTGGCATGGCATATTGTATCCTCTAAACACAGTCTGCACTCCACTAGCTCACCTTTGTTCTTACCATTGAATATTGTCTCGTAAATTAAACAAAAACTATTTGAAAACTCGTGTGCCAAGTTTCTCACAATCCTTGTGCATAGCATCTCGCATAACTGCGACAATTGTTTGTAAGAAATTATACGAAAAGTTACGTTAAATAACATATGGCAAATTCAATCTCGTCGTTCGCCCTCGTTTCGTGACGAAACTTGACAACACGCTCGTACTTGCATAGTTAATATAACGCAGCGCTTAAGCTACACGGATAACGCCGTCCTAATAAATACTTAATTAATAAGCAACAGTTTAGCAGCTTAAGAAGATATTTGCGACGCGTTGAAACGTCCGCAATCCCCATTTGGAAGAAAAAGAGAAAAAAGAAGAAGAAGAAATCGCGTTTATATCTAGTTTGTAATTTCTTTCCTGCATATGTGTGTGTATGTTGCGTTACTAACAATGCATCGGTGTTTTCGATTGTTTTGTTTGCCAATACGAAATTGGTTAGGCACAGAGTTCATATAAGTATTCTTGGAAGTTCTTATATCTACTACCAAATCATGAGGCATTACTTTTCGAATATCTACACAATTAGGGGAATAAAACACGTAGCACAGATTTAGAGAATTACTTATAGCGAATAAATTAAGACCGTAAATTAAGGGAAGTGCAGTTTGTGTAAAATATAATTTTAAATAATGTTAAGTTACGTTTATCTCAATAATACAAAAAAACTCCATAATATATTAAGTATCAGCAATTTATGTTGGTAGAGTGTCTTTCTAATTTTTACTGAGTATAAAGTATAAACTTATTCATAAAACAGAAAGCGTCAGACGTCAGAATTAATAGCTGTATCATATAATTGTAAACGTTTGCATGCAATAACGATCATGACACTCACTCTATATCATTGTAAAATTAGACTGCCAGGCAAAAATATAATATTTTGTTATTTTACAGTTTATATATATATATATATATGTGTGTGTGTGTGTGTTTGTGTGCATGTGTGTGTACATATATATATATATATATTTACTCATTCGTGTGTGTGTGTTCGTGTGTGCATATATATATATATATATATACACACATATATATATATATATACACATATATATTTAGAATATTCGATATAATGCCACATGAAATGGTGAGTCACTTTTAAATGGCTATGAACTTCAAATCTCCGTTTCCGCCACTATTTTTTAACGATCAGGAAGAATTCATCGTTCTAAATCCCAATAATGTCATTGATAAAATTAACAGTCATTCCTAGAAAAGAAATGAAAAGTATGCAACAAATTGGAATTCTCTACAAATATAGAAATATCGTCGTTTTTACAGACAAGTTATAGAGTTCCAAGAGCGCGTCAATGTAAATAATCTCCATATTTCGTATATTCAAATATCGTCTAAAAATTTTGGGCGAAAACGTGAATATGGAAATCTGTGCTCTGTGTGACACCCATAAAGTGATAATAAATTTATCATTAACATCGCACGCAATGTTCCTCGAAAGTAACCCCGTAATTTTGAGTCTCACGAAAGAAACTATTTGCATTTACTTTTTCCTTTTAAAGACGATTGGGTCACAGTAGTTTTTTGTTCCCAAGTAAATGTTTAAAATTACCAACATATTTTGGTTGCATTAATATCTAACCTGCTTCGCTGTCACTTGAGTCACTGGAGCTTGAAGAAAGCGAACTACTGCTCGAGTCACTGTCACTGCTACTACTGCTCGACGCCGACAGCCGCGAAGGTCCAGTTGCACCACCAGTTCCGACTACATCGACAGATTTATTGCTGTCCTCTATAAATATACAACATACAAACGATTTTAATATTTTGTTTAATTTAAAATGTTTGTTTTATTCGAGTAAATTCCATCAAGTGTATGTTTCCCATTCTGCACATATATTTCTTAACAAATTCGCGCGGAGGTGTACAAAATACTAAAAGAAATCAAACACTAACCTTTCTTGGTAGTCTTTTTGACGTTGCCTAATTGCCCTGTCACATCTTGTAGCCTCTTCTCCAATTCTTGTTTCTTTTCTGCCATCTGTTCATCCTTAGACTTACCGCTGACTTTTTTGTCTATGTGAACATACAAGATATAGCATTTAATATACAACATTTAAATATATAGAAACATCGTTGCAACTTTTATAAATTATAACCCTTGCTATCATATTATAGAAAAAAAATATCCTTTAACTAAAACAAACTTCTTTCAACAGTTTTCAGAGAAGCGGCTACTGAACTATTCTATGAATTTAAGCTAAAGTCAAATTCGTAGTAAGGCTTACGTGGCTTTTTCCTCAAACATGATGCAACGTAGCTCTCCAGTTCACGAAGCGTCGATGGCTTCAACGTCTCGAAGTCAATCTCAATCTCATCAGGATTTGAATCCCTCAATGAGGGTTCCCGAGATTGTATTATGTGTACGACGCGACCTAATTTGTCACCTATAAAGGAAAAAAAATTAGTAAAAAAATAGTAATAAATTCCTATCTTCTAAAAATATTGGTCTAACTATAATATACACTTTTCATTGTTCAAATCTTTTATCTGATATTTATTATCTAATACAATAGAAATTTTATAATCTAACGTATCTTACCTGGTAGTTTATTGATATCCAAACTGAGCTGTCTCTTCTCGTCATAAGACATAGGCTTAGCGTTATCCTCGTCCTCCGAATCAAATGTCATCGGAGGCGGTTGGCTGCTAGCGTTCTTCTTTTTGTTTCCGGCAGATCTACTATTGGCTTTTGGCCTCTTAGTCCCAGTAGTCGCCGCAGCTGCAGCTTTCCCAGGTCCTCGGCCTTTCCCCTTCGGCTTGGCGTTCGTCGCTGCTGGTGGCAGGTGATGACCTAAATTTCCTGCCGCATGGGTCTTGTTAGGACCTACTGCTATAGCCGAATGATGGAGATCGCTTCCCATGCCACCTGGCATCTTCAGATCGCCTGCACCCATCGCGACGCTGGCTATACTAGCACCAACGCTGTCTGTTACATTAGGGATACCGCCACTTGGTTTCATTAGTTCTTTCATGGCACCAGTGTGACTGGCAACAAGGCTCTTATTGCTTATAGGCTTTGATTTCGTCTTCTCAGGTTTCTTCTTCTTACTCTTCTTTTTACCGCTCTCTTCTACCAATTTTCTCATTTGCTCTTGCATGGCCTTCAACTAGAATAAATTTATGTTACTGCTAAGTTCTCGAATACCATATAATTTTGAACATACCTCTTGCTGCAAAGCGAGCAACTTTTGAGTGCGTTGTTCCTCGCCATCGGACTCGCTATCCGAAGAATCTTCTTCGCCGGAACTACTGGCACTGCTACTCGTACCTTTCATAGTTACCATGCTTCCCATAGGTTCATCCGGAATTTTTGCATATCTAATCATTATATACAGAGTTAATTACGATAGTACAATAAATATAGATATGAAAACGTACAAATATTTTACAAAAAAAAACTTTATTAGATTTTTTTTATACTAACCGCATTTCGAATATATCCTGCAGTTTTCTAGCCATGGAAACAACGTCATGATCTGGAGGATTATATTTATAGCAATTGGTAAATATAAGCCGGACATCACTCGCAAATTCTTGTGCAGTTTTGTATTCGCGGTTATCCATTTTCGACTGTAAAGTAATAGAATTAAAAATAAAATATAATTGCATATATTAGTTTTGTGTTTAAGTACAAGTATCTATCTACAAACACTTCGTGTTTTACGGGAAATAAATATAAAATGTTCAAAGTACAAACCTTTACAGTGGCAAGATATAAAATGTTTGAAGTATGAACCTTTACAGTGGCAAGGTATAAAATATTTAAAGTACAAACCTTTATAATGATCCATTAACACAAGATGGTTAAGTACAAACCTTTACAGTGCCAAGATCCATAGGTTTCTTGATAATTTCGTGATAGTCATGAAGGCCTAGAAGTTCTGCGTCCACTGGTTTATAGAACGGCCAGGCGTAACCCTATGTATTAGTAAAATAAAAAAAATATGTATACTATATAAAAGTATATTTGATCTGACTTCCAATTTGGCTTGCTATCACGTCCTTCATGGATGTTTCCGATGTTTCATAAATATTCCATTTTACTTTTTTTAAGGAAAGAAACGACTGGCAAGGTTAATAGTTTTGTTAAATTCGTTTACGAGACACTGAAAAAAATTAACTCGGAAGTCAGATCTTGGAAGTTTAAAATATCAGAACACAAAATTATAATTTCAATTTCTACTTTTATTTATATTTATATTGATATCCATTTAAAAAAGAAAAAAATATATTTCAATTACCGAATGCTTTTTGGAGAAAAGTTCTTTTAAGATGTCATTACAACACTTTAAGGCTTCTGACAATTTTTCCTTTGATTTGCCACCAGCATGTTGAGGCTGAAAATATTACGAAAATATTATACTATGTCACACAAGAAAGATTCTTGTCAATTTCAATGTCAGTTTTTTTTGGTCCAACCTTTTGATTGTCAAATTTATATAAATTGACAACAAGTGACAACAAGTGACTATTTTGTCAATTATTGATTACTACAAAAATCTCTAAAAAAATATACTTATATAAGTCAAAAGTATACATAATTTTATTCAGACACTGGAAAAATTTGAAATATATAGACAAATATATAGAAAATAAGATGCATTTCCTTTACTCGTACCGGCTACCTCACCTTATTTGCGGAAGAAAACAATTTAGAATTTTAAAGAATTTTAAAAGTTCTTCTCTCATATCCACTATAGTGGTGTCCAGCAACCAAAAGGTTAAAGATTTTAACCTTAACTGTTTAAGAGAGAGATAGAAAGAAAGACAGAAAAAAGGAAAGGAAGAAAAACTTTACCATGAAACTTAAAAAAAAATTTCTTATAACAATTGAATCTTTAATTGATATTCTTTTAAACATTGTTATACAAAAGAATATAACATTGTTATGCAAAAGAATATAACAAAAAAAACTTTACCATGAAACTTAAAAAAAAAAATTTCTCATAAAAAATTGAATCTTTAGTTGATATTCTCTTAAACATTATTATACAAAAGAATATGACATTTATTAAACTTTACTTTTGTTTTACAGTAATATACGAGTCATATTTATAAAATTTGTTTAATTTAAACACATACAGATCTAATAACATCAGTTTGATAGAAATGATAAGACAACACAAATGAAAGGGAGGAACGAGTAGTAATAAAGGTACCTGCTGTGCCATTGCCCCCATCAGAGGCATATTGGTCTGATGGAATGGCACTAAACCATCTTCTGCTTGCCTCGTTGGCTGAAACAGCCATGTCATGAAATGTTGGCTGATGTATTAATGAAATGATATGACTATGCATACAAGGATCAGGATATTTACGAATGTTATGATATAATGTACAATAACTTGATAATATGATAACTTATTCTACAGACAAACACACAAGAATTTAAACTGATCATACAGACTGTGAAAGTGTTGATACATCAATAAGATTTACATGTATATGGAAATCAAACAATTTCTAGATGTGAGGCATTACATAAAATGATATTCTACCCTAGTAAGTTATCGATCATCTTTTATAAACACGTGTAAGTATCGCGTTTTCAATGCTTCTTGTGCAAACCCAAGATATAACAACAAGAACATATTTGATAAGACACACAATTACCTTTTTAATTTGTCTGCCCGACTCCCTTCTTGTAGGTATTTTGGCGTTCTTAGAATCCATAGGCGCATACATAGGTTCAAATGAATTTGCTGTAGGTGTCGTGGTATCAGCCTTTCTTTTCACTCCCTTTTTAAGTTTGGCAGGTTGCGACGGAGGCATGACAGCAGGTGCCGTGGGAACTTGGGGAGGTGGGAGTACAGCCGAAGCTGCTTGTGGATCTAGCGCTGGTTGTGCATGGTAACCTGTGGTCGGAGGGACAACTTGTTGAGGCAGAGAATTATGAGTAGCCATTGGCGCGACGCCCATGCTTGCTGGTGGAGCGATGGTGGTTGTATTCGTACTTCCAGGTACAGATACTGGTGCCTGAGTACCAAGCGGTGGCATAGGTATAACACCCGTTGTTCTAGCCGCAGTAGCGGAAGGCGCCAGGCTGTTAGGTACGCTAGAGGTAACGGCAGCTGCACTTGAAGCAGGTCGTCCTCGACCTGTACCTCCAGCAACTCCACCTGCTGAACCACTAACTCTTCCAGCTTTTTTACCCTTGGGTCCTTTCGGCAATGGTGGATCCAATTCCACTTCTTCTTTTGGCATTTGTGCAACCTAAATTGGTATCATATAAAGATTTTAACTTTGTTATCTTAGCATTTAGTAAGAATGTCTCATTTTTTAATTATATGAAACTTTGAGAGCAAAACTAGTGTGGTTATTTTTTTTCTAACTTGAATTGACATTAGACAGAAAACTGCTCTTTGTCTGCGATGCTAACCCAAATTAGAAAAAAAAAATGTACTTACAACATTCTTAACACTTTATATATTAGTTAACGAGAACTTTATTCCTCTACTGTTTACTTTCTTATATAGTAGAAATATGTTAAATAAGAAATATTAGTAGATTAATAAGAAAATTAGTAGTTAAATAAGAAATATTAGTAGATTAATAAGAAAATTAGTAGTTAAATAAGAAATATTAGTAGATTAATAAGAAAATTAGTAGTTAAATAAGAAATATTAGTAGATTAATAAGAAAATTAGTAGTTAAATAAGAAATATTAGTATATGTTAAATAAGAAATATTAGTATAATTAGTGGTGAAAAGCATACCTTTATAAGAAATATATCTTTATAATATACTTTTATAAGATATATACCTTTGTGAGAAATAATTTTTCTAGGGCTTGCGCCATGACTACAACATCTTCTCCAGGCTTGTTGTAGACATAGCAGTTGGTAAACATTGTATTGAAGTCCTGAATACATTCTTTCCCACTCCAATAATAGGTATTCTCCAGTCTCTTTTTGATTGTGCCCAAGTCCATAGGTTTTTCGATAATTTTGTGGTAGTCCTTAAGAATAAAAGATACTTTTAATAAATATATCCAATGAAATGACATAAGTTTGCTTGCTCACTGATAGTATTTTATATTTAATTATTTCACAAATTATGCACTCTCGTTACGATATTAGTTGTAATATTTGTGAATTATAACATACTGGTAAATTGAGCTTCTTTGCATCTACAGGTTGTTGGAAGGGCCAGGCAAATTGATGCTTCCATACTGGTTTCAAAACACCCTTCAGTAAAAATTGCAGTTGATTCGTGATACGTCCTGGACGATTCGGTGGTGGGACGACCGGCGGTTGAACAATGCCGTTCACAGGTTCCAAGTGTGGTTCATCGCGCGGAGGTGGTTCCTTTGGAGGACTCGCTGGTGTAGTCGAGGCCTTACCAGTTGCGCTCGTCTGCATTATTATTTTGTTCATTTTATACATAAGATACTAGCGTATGTTATTTCTTTCATTACCTTCATATCTACACGCAAGGTAAAATAACATTAGAAAGCATCTGATACAACGAATCTTGTGTCGGTACCATGCATTTTAGGTTATCAATCGCGACGTATTTTGTGTGTAGCGTTCCCAGACGGATGAACAAGCCCCACCACGCGATACTAGTGTGCGCATCCAGAAACCTGCGCAACCAATCACGTGATCGCGTCGGCAGACTCGTGCTTAGACGGACAACGTGAGGTGAAATTTATCGGACCCTATCCACTCTTTTTACCTGCTTACAATACTCCCCGTATTTCTTTACAAATTTTATCTTTCGCACTACTATTCATAAGTTATAAATTATAGTGTGTAATTTATAGACAGCCTGGGACTCTTCACACGATTTTAAACAAAATAAATATGACCGATCGAATCATCGAAAACGCCATCGTAACAAAATGAAAATGAATACTTTGAAATACTCTGAGATCCTTGCGAAAAAAAATTTTAAACAATTTAACATTCTTTTTATACTTGAAATATAAATATTGACACACACGTGATAAGTTCGCGAGCACGGAAAAAGAATTTGACCTTACTTTCCTTCAATTAATAAATATAAATAAAAAAGTTAATATCATTCACTGTAACACTTTCTGATTTTTTCAGTGACGAACAGAAGCGGCAAACTTCGCGGCAGAACGTGCACGCAGCTGAAGCGCGAACGTTCACGTTACTACGCATGCGTGGAACTTGCCTCTTCACCTAAGAAAAACACTGTTTATACGCCGTATTTGTGCAAAATGTTAATGCCCATGTATGTGTAAAATGTGAAACTTAAAAATAATAGAGAGTACGATCTACGATATAAAATACAGATGCTGTTGTGTGTATTAAAAGAAACCCTTGCATGTATTAATGCTAAAATAGGCAAAAACACGAATTACACTTTCTCTAGATAATATATTTGTACATATATATATACATATATATACACACGCTGAAAGTTAATGACCCTACCCATGCAGCGAGCGAATTAGGCTGCTAAATATTTAATTTCCATAACCACAGGCAAGCTAATTTGGAATCTCGTGAGAGGAAGCTAGAGATCACAACATGACTCGAAAGAAATAAGATGAGAACTTATAAATGAAATATAATGGCATTTTCAAGTCATTTCATGCAAATTCATGGAAATACATCTTTATATCGTTAGAGCAGAAATAATTACGTTAACAATTAAAAAGTAAGACATTACGCACCGTTTGCACATTGCATAAAAGTAACGCATAAAGCCGTAGATATTGATACTGAGAATATTTATGAATATGCTAAATGATTACTAGACACAGCGAGCAAAACGAATCTTGTTTCTACAATATCAATGGTTTTTACTAATTATGACAGTATTTACTGTAAGGCAGTTCTATATTAATTAAAAGTTAACTAATATTTATTCGCAAAGTCGCATCTGCATTATTTAATGCTGCTAGTAGAGTGAAGCGAGATTACTCAAATAATAGCACAAATTATTAGTTTGCCAATTCATATTTCAACGATATAACCTAGTTGAAACAATTGTCAACAAGGTGTCTCACCTTCGGTATATTACACAGCCTTTCTCGCTCCTCCACATCTAACTGTAATTCATACGTACTATTCAGTCAAACAGCGTTCTTTTAATACGAAAAAAGGGAACAGAAAAAATGAATATTGTACAGGGAACGGAATTTATGACGGTACAATATTAGACAGTGTATTCAAATGTAGGAAAGGTAACAAAATCCGATACACAAATCGTATTACACAGTCACATGTAATGATTTGCAAAGAGGATCGTTGATGACAAAATGTCAGATATTGCGATCCACGTATAAATCATCTTACGATTATTTCGAAATGAATGAAGGAATGATCCACGTTGTGTGAATAACACGTTACACCGTGAACACATGCTGATGTGCTGCGTAATATGAAATGCGCGCTGAAACTATGGGCATCGCTGAACAGTACAGGTATATATTATCACAAAACTTAACGCAGCTTCGAAATTTCGTGTTAGTGAATTAATAAGCAGGCTGCATTCTGCATCATTACGAGTTATAAGGAAATACAGTGTTGATTACTCACGGAATTGTTCTGCGAGATGTTGTCCACCTGCTGCATCCTGCTTGTAGAACTGCAACAGAAAGAAAATGGCATAATAAGATTTACTTACAAAACATCGTGAGGATGATTTTATAGTAGAACAAAAACTATCATGTTAGTTGGATTACATACATTTACCAAAGCATTTAAATGCGATACATTGACTGCGCGCGCTAAAGGATCAGAATTAGTCGTCGCATCTATCAAACACTGTTTGATAGAGAAAACTAATGATTCGTTTGACCATATCAAGTATATTTCCAGGTTTCTTTCTACATTCACACAAAGATCTCCCTAGTTTGAATTTACCTAGTGCTTTTTGAGGCCAAGTTTTCCTAACATCGCAATTACGCGATCTAATGTCAATTAAATGTACCAAATGTCGCTGAAACTAGATCATAAGTTTCGTGTACGTTTTCACCTTTATTTCGATTAATTGTTTGATAATATGTAGCTCTTCCAGTCTCGGAAAACGAGCTTCACCACTGACGAGGTAAGAGTAAAGACCGTCAGCTTTACGGGATTTAGCGTGCACGAAAAATTTTGATGTTCAAATAATCCCCTGCCTGTAAATTTTCAAGTCAGAGAATGTAGATAATTGCAGAAATGCAATTTCACACAAATATTTTCTATGTTTTATCGTAAATCTGTACACATATCGATGAGACATCGTGTCTCATCATCATGTGTGACGAAAAATAGTCAACAATATTCAATTCTTCAATTATTCTTCTGCAATTATTTTCGGGCCTTCCCTTTCCGTGGTCACGATAATTTTCCCAAGGCTGACGATTTTTAACAGTACCTCGACGGTGGTTTCACACCTACCTTTCCGACAAATATGATACATAAATGTTACGCAGCAGGTATCTGCCTTACGTTGATGCTTGACGCTATGAGGCTTCATCAACAATTGAGATGTGAAGTATAGATTCGGAATCGAGCGCGGTAGCTCATTAATCGCTCGCCAAGGCGATCACGCTGCAACCAGGAAGTTTGGTACCGAGGAGGCATAACACTACTCAAGCCTACCAAATGGTAGTACTTCGAGTGTCAGCCCTGTATACTGCAGTAACACTCCGTACCTCCAGTCAAGACTCGCAACATTAGCAACATCTGGATAACATAACAATAGGACCCCGTATTGTAACAACCCCAACACAGCATTGCTTTAGAGCGATTTGTACATCTAGATGTACTCGGAAAATTTATATATGCACATATTATTTATAATGTACCATGCAAAACTGAATAATAGATACATGCTGGGAAAGAGAAAATCTATTCATTACTATGTAATAATGAATATTATCAAGTGAGATATGTGAAAACTATTATTTCTGTTGTTTTCTTGTAAAATATTGTCCTTTTAATAAATACTACAGATATTAAAAAATATATTAATGCAAAGTTGAATTTATTTACACTGAACTGAATATATTTGTATAAATTTATTGAATTATCTTTCCATATAAATTACATTTTGTTTTCAACAAAGGCTGTTTTGAGATTGCGAAGTGTGCTAATGTAAATCTGAATTTAAATTTGAATAAGTTTTTCGCGTATTATTAAATAAGTTTCTATCTCATGTATATAATTACAAAAATAAAATAAAATATAGCAATATAAAATTTTTTTATCTCTCTTATAATTTCTTTTGATTTGTTATGTGTATACCTTAATAAAATATTAAATTTTTTTTACTATTTATGTTAAATACTTAGTACATTGCTGTATTGTTCATATAAAATGTTTAAAAAAGAATTTATATGTATATTTGTTAAATTTTTTCTTATATATATATAAATATATTTTGATAATATATACTTTCGATATATCACTAAAAACAAGTTGATTTAAAAATTCTTTTCCCTTCTTAACAATATATATATATATATATATATATATATATATATATATTTCTTTTTTTAGGTAAATAAATATCTCTATGGACACGCATAAACTAGAAAGAAGACAACTTATACCAGCTTAATATCTTATTACTTATTCTATACAAAAAGGGAGCAATTAACGATTAAAAATCGAACAACAATAACAGAAGAAAGTTTCGTCTGTGAAGACAAATTTTTGAATTTGTGCAAAATGTAACCTTGATGAAGGCACCACGAGTTTATCTAATATCGTATAACCTGAGCGAATTGTGATTTTGTGTTTCTAAACGTAAAAGCTTCTTTCTCCCTCTTTCTCTCTCTCTCTTGAGCCCACCAGAATTCAGAGAATCTGGATATGAGATTCGGCATACCCCGCAGGTAACCGTAGTGACCAGAGTAAGCCAAAATGGAAAGTTTGTCAAAAGTAGCACAAGTAACTGGCACACAGGTATAGAAAGTGAGGCGGCTATTAAGATGCAAAATTGACGATACACAGAGAAAGACCACACGTCGCGTTCGGCGACCGTTACGATTTTTCTCGACCAACTGTGAACGAGGTTGTCGGACGCGGCAACAGGAAAGACCTTGTCACGGAATGATCCGCGCCGCAAGGAAGAGACTGCGCGCCCGCGGCGAGCTAGGTATCAAGGGCAGAGAGATAAGAGATCTCGCGCTCTCGGCTCGAACAGGTGCTCGGTAGTCGCAAAGGACATCCGAGGTGGGTAGGAAAGGAGAAAGGCGAGATACGCGGGCGAAAGACATGAAAGAGAAATAAGTGCGGCAGCGGCGGCGGCAACGACTACACTAGCTACACCGGCGGCGACCGTGGTGGCGGTGGCGGCAATGGAAACGGCGGCGGAGAGTAAAGAGAGAGGCAAAGAGGACGAATAGGTGAGGACGGCGCGGGGAAGGGTAGCAGATCCGCGCCCAGCCGATGCACCCAGCCGACGCACAACAAACACGAACAAGCCGCCGCGCGAAGAATCCAGACAGGCAGACAGTTAGTCAGGCGGTCAACCAGGCGAGCGAGCGAGATAGCGACATGACTGGCGTCGCGCAGCGAGAGGGCCGCCGTCGTGGATTCACGACGTCTCGAGATATAGCCGGGGCCGTGGATACGGCCCGCGCGCGCGGAAAAACCCGGGCTGCCTCACCGGACACTCGTTTCGGCGTAGGTCTCTCAACATGGCGGGTATGGCCGCTCGGGAAAGAAAGCTCCCAAGGGCCCGCCACCACCACCACCACCACCGCCACCGCCACCGCCGCCGCCGCCGCCGCCGTCGTCGTCCTCTAGGCCGTCGCGCGCCACGCTCTTGTACCACCGCTGCTAAAACGCGCCACGCGCCTTTACAACACCTCATAATCGGCTCGATCGTGTCCACTAAATTATGAGAGTCCGACGCCGCGCGCGCGACCTGATCACTTACCTGCGGTAGCAGTCCGCTCGTCCGATCAGGGGTACTCTCTCAATCGAAAAACACTACCACTACGCCTCGCCTCGCAGACACTCGCACTGCGCTTTCTCCCTCGCTCACTTTAGTTTGGTCGGTCGGTCGGTCGGTCGGTGTTATGGCCGCCGCCGCGGGCGCGAGTGTGGCCCCACCGTATATCACTCACTCACTCTCACTCATGCGAGCGCGAGCGCTCGGTTCGCATACGCGCGACGACGAACGGAGGCGGCGGAGGAGACGCGAATCCGACCAACTAGTCCCGCGGAATTGCGTGCGCGTACACGCGCCGCACTCACTGCAACGAATATCGTATCAATGGCTTATGGCGCGGCTCGCCGACTTAACTGTGGAGCCCAACGCGGTCGTAGCAAGCCTCTCCGTGCCCATGACGATCTTCGGATCTAGAAACTAACGATCGCAGCACCAACAATGGCTACGCACTCTTCCGCGACGTACCGACTGGTCCGATTTCGTCGTTCCGCACGCGCACCAACCTCTCCGTGTCCAGCCTACTTCGACGAGCGCGGCCGACTGACGCCGAGCGCCAAGCCGGAAATCAGATGAACGCGCCAATTACGAACGGCCGTAGCGACGCCTAGTGGATTCACGGCGCTTCAGTTCGATAAGATGGATCTGCTGTCGATATCGAGTCTATTTGATGATTAAAAACGTAGCAGAGTCTTGTTCTCTAGCCAAATGCGTCGACTTTTGCATACGTTATGCTATCGTTAACCTCGCGCGATCGTCAGAACTAAACTACTGCCGCGTGCGCATGAACCGCCGAGCTTCTAGAAACATCTCCCGCGACCTCTCTCGGATAACATAGTGTACCTCTGGCACAACATGCGTGTGCATATTGACGGAAATAAAGAATGCTCACCGGCTATGGTTATCAAGGTACGTACACAGGTATTGTAGGCCTGGTCATAAATCTTTATTGGTTTAGATTACGTGTATATACACTGGATCAACCAGTCGTGAAAAATTAACGGTTCATTTCCGTCGTTTCAGTTTTCAGCTTTACCCATAATGCACCGCTCTATAGCGAGAAAAGATTGACTTCAAGATCTCCTAATTTATAGAGTG